GGGGTGTCGTAGTGGTGAAGATGACTGGCATGACGGACAACCAACACATTAGTAGCGCCGGGGGGGGCAAAGGCTCCTACCCCGGTGAAGGACTGGTACCGTAGGAAATAGGAGGCCATTTGATAGGGCTTGGTGAGCTCGGCGCAGTCCTCGTCGGAGCCACCATTGGCCCTCGTCCCCTCCTCCTTGAGCCAAAACGCGGGCTTGATTTGGAAGTCGGTTGGCGTCATCCGCCGAAGTAGCCGCAGCTGCTGCCGGAAAAGGTCCTCCCGGGTCGTGTTCTGTGTAGAGACCGGTTAGCTGACATGCGAAGGCGGGCGGTTGCTCGAGAGGGCGAGGCGACGCACGAAACCAACGTAGAGGTTGAAGAGCGGTTTGTAGACCCGAGGCAAAATGATTCTGTTGACTGCCACGTGGCATTCCTCGCGCCCGCTGGGGGTATCCAGCAGCAGGAACTTGGCCAAGATGAGGCTGCAAATGTGATCTGCGCGAAGGTCAGAACACTACAAACTGGAGCTACCACCAAGGGACGGGAGTGGCAACATACTGACGTAGGCCTTGACTTCTTTCACGGCCTTCTGTAGAGTCTCCTCCGTCAACCTGAGGGTGAGCGACCCAATGCTGTGAGTAGGCTGGAGACATCTGTTCACCTGATCTTGCTGTACCTTTTCTGGGAGGAGGTCTGCGAGAGGGTGCGCACGTCGGGCGACTCCACGGCATACAGCAGGCTGAACAGACACGGTTGCACAAACGGTGCGAGAGGTCATACATAGACGACACACAAACCACGAATCGGCACACAAGCTACAAAACGACACACAAACCGGGGAAACGGCACGTTTACGTACGTAAATTGGTCAACAAACCCGTTGAGGTTCTTGCCCAATGGGTGCGTGGAGGATTTGAGGATGGTGGTGATGTAGTCAAGCAACATGCGGGGTTCTGTGAGCTCTCTGTAGCCATACGGATCCGCACACACGTGGACCACGGAAGGTGGGTTGACAAAGGCCCAAGGCTGCACGAAAAGGCTCTAGTGGAGGGAGAGGGGGTTACTTATGCGGATCGTGCAGGCGAACGAGATCCCAGTCGCCAGCGTCGGCTCTATGCAGATACTGGCTGATGCATTGTGAGTGCAGCACTGTCACACACCGCATTGCAGTCGTCAGGGCTCGAATAGGTGGGTGATGCACGCTTAACAGAGGCACAACAGACATACCTTTCCCCGAGAGCAGGTTGACAATTGAGTCATTGCCAGACTCCACGCCGCACTCCGCACAACTGCATTTTAGAAGCATTTAGATCACCACAAGCTCGGGTGGCCAACAATACTATTGGGAATAGGGGGTGGGTATACGTGTTGTTGACGACGGTGTTGAAGTAAAGCTGCCACTCAGCCTCGAGGTGTCTACATGTCTGCAAAAGGGGAGTGTGGGTCATCCAATGATCTCACGCCCTGGCGGATACGAGAAGAGGCACGTACCAGGACGTGGAGCGTGTCGAAGTCCGACCGGCCATTCCACCCACCGAATAAATATAGTCTGCGCAAGGCACAAACAAGTAAGCCCATCGTGTACGGGCGAGAGACAGCAAAGAGGGGCACCTGTTTTTGGACGAGAGGGTGACCGCGTGTGACCATCGGGGAGCGGGTGCCTCGCCGGAAGCAAATGGCTTGTACCACACCAACGTGTCTTGGCACATGGCACGCCGTACATGTACACTCAGTGTCAAGCTGCACAAATGAACAGGAGGTCGGTGGCGTACTGGTATCGAGAAAGTAGAGGTCGTTTGACGGCACGCGGTGGTCCCAGCCTCCGATCACCAGCATGCGCGTACCCAGCAGAACCTGTACACCGCCAACGTTGGAGTGAGCGCACAGTATGGGACTACGAAGAACGTTCAGGCAGGACGGAGCGCACGTACGGCGGTGTGGGAATCGGTTGGTCGCGGGCCGATACCGGAGGTGAGTGGACGTTCCCACTTCATCTTGCCCGGTGTGGTGTAGAGCACCCACAAGTCATTCGACGACTTCTTGCCGTCGTAGCCTCCGAACACCAAAATCTACTCACACCACACGATGTGTGTCCGCCCCGGTGAGCCGCTTCCCTACCTATAGCACACGGGTCGTCTCGCCTCTATGCTGGAGTTGCGAGGGCTGAGCGCGATGAGGAGACTTGCGCAGTACCTTGTTGTCATCTACAAGGATTGCGGAATGGCTGCGCAGCTTCGTGGGATCGCTGTCGTGTTGGCTGTCGTTTTCATCGTCTTCTTTCTCTTTTTCTTCGTCTTCCTCGTCGAACAGGCTCCCCCTTTTCTTCGCCGCCTTCTTCGTTCTCGTCTCTTCGACATCTGTGGTCGATCCACTTTCATCATCGTCGCCCTCCTCTTCCTCAGCATCGTCATCGAATAGACTTCGCCTTCGCTGTACTATTTCGCTGTCCTCCTCGTCGAAGAGGTTGGTCGACTGGTTCATCGCAACTTGCAATTGCTGCTGCTGCTGCGCAGAGACGTAGCCTGCGACGTGCCAGGTGTCAATTAGCCCGTTCATTGGGACCTGTACGCGAGAGAGCCTACCTTCTTCTGTGGCCTCCCCCGACCTTCTCTCGGCGCTGCTTTCTCGGCTCTGCAGCTAAGGTGTGAGTCACGCGAGCGAACAACAAAGGGGCGGCGCACTTACCCCCTCGATGACCGTGAACTCGTCCTCCTCGAGCTTTTCTCTCAACTTGATCTCTTGGTTCCTGTCGCCATGGCCATGGTGGAGCGAAGTGGTGAGTACGCAGCTCTGCGTGCCAATACCCTTGGGGTCCTCGAACAGGAAGAATCCTCTTCGTACCGGACTTCGGTGGCGAGCGACGGAGATCTGATCTTGTGCATCGTCGGTACCCGAACGCTGGGCTGCGACCATCGAGACTATACGCCGTGGTGTTCGTTTCTTCGTGAGAATCGACAAAGCGCTGAATTGAGAAGGGGGGAGGCCAATGTCGTCCCACCTGTCGGATGTCGAGTATGTAGATCCCTCCGCGATCGGACTGGACGCCTGGCACGGCGAGTTTCGGCATCGCTTCACCGTATCCTCCTGTGTGATACGGCCGGCGCGGTGCATCAGGCGACGGGAACAGGCGAACGCAACACGCGGGCGGTGGACGAGGGTTCACGGCTGCGTACCTAAGATGACTAGTCGGTCGCCGGCAACAAGCGTGGCAGTGTGCAGGGCGCGCGGAGGCGGTACGTCTCCCACGGTCTCCGCCTGCCGCCACTCGTTCGATACTTGATCGACGCACGTGCCCACAGTTAGGACCTCACGACACGATGGCGTGGCTCATGATGCCAACATATGTGCGCGTACCCGTATCGAAGACGTGCAGATCGTTGAGAGGGCCAGTCTTGCCGATGCCGCCGAAAATGAAAAGATACCTGTTCTCCAAGACCGTGCAAGAATGGCCGTGCCTATAGGCGCGTTACAGGTTGCGCGAGACATGGGTGCCACGAGCCTCAGCGTTGGGTGTCATCAATGGCTGTCATCTCAGGGTATAATAATCAGTTCACGCACCTTGGAGAGGGAGGCGAGCCTGTTGTGGCGATCTCCTTCCAGGCCGCAGATTCTGCATTACAGACCAGTACTTAATCGGTGAGCGATAGCGACCACCACGAGTGCGCATGTGCGGGAGGTCATGCAGTACCGATGGAGAGTGAGTGCAAATCGTTCAGAAAGCTCTCCTTGTCTTTCGAGTAGCCTCCGAAGAGAAACAGGCGCTTGCCTATGCAAGCCAGCGTGTGACCAGATCGGCCGTCGGGCCGGATGCCCCGCCCGCCAAACGGGCTGCTCCAGCTGAAGCCTTGACTCAATAGAAGCATCACCACAGGTAAGCTCAACTCTGCGTGCTCAGAGGAGCGAGAGCTGAAGGTACCGAGTTCCATGTGCTGCTCCATGTGCTGCTCGTCGTCTTGCTTGTGCTTGTAGTACTTCTGCGAGTAGCGCAGCGCTTCAATCCAGGCCTCGACCTCCTGCTTGCTCTCGGCCCACAGCCAATAGGTCCGCCCCGCGTGCTGCCCGTCGTCCTCGCTTGTAAAGATCACGTCAGTACGTGTACACCCAAGCAAACACCATGAACAGGTGCAGAGTTGTGAATTCACCTGGACGGTAGCTGCACGATGAAGTATCGGCTGCTGTCCCAGCCGCCAAGCGCCGCTGCACACCACTCACCCGTCAGCCAGACCCAATAGTCGCACCCATCATAGCACAAGAACGGCCGGCCGTACCCAGCGAAGAGAGCGAGGAGGAGAGCGAGGGGAGGAGGGAAGAGAATCGTCCGGCGCCGGATGCCGTGGCAGAGGGCGAGAACGGCGCAGTGGGCAACGGCGACGAAGCCGCGGAAGATCCCAGGCCGTTCGTGGCCACATACGGCAGCGACGACGATGACGAGGCCAGCGGAGAAGAAAGACTGGCGTTGGAGGCGGAGAGGGACGCCGGGGCGGCGGGGGAGGGAGCAGATGAGGAAGCGGGAGACGGTGCGGAGGGCAGGAGGAGGGAGGAGGTCGAGGTGAGGGAGACGGGGGAGGAGAGGGAGAGGAGGGAGGGCGGCAGGGGCAGCGCGGCGGGATTCTCCTTCTCGTAGGGCAGCACGACCGCGTCCTGGAGTGGGATGGAGCCCAGCGGCTTGGTCTGCGATGCCTTGAGCGAGTGCGGATCAAACTCGTCCCTGCGCACAAAGGCATGTTGGGCTTGTTGGTTTGCCGCCAAGTGTGGCAGCCCTCGGCACGTAGGGCGGCGGAACAGTGCACAAACGTGGTGTGGTACACCACGGGTACGTACGCGTAGTAGTTGAGCTTGTTGTCCTTGAGCACGAACCATCGCTTCTTCCAGCCCCAGCCCTGTTCGCCCTGCTTCTTCAACCAGCCCTGCAGGTGGCCTGGCTGCAAATGCACCAGTTGGACAATGCACTGATTAATCTTTCATCTCCCAATTCTCCAAATCCTACAGCGGGAGCCGTCGCTGGCAGCGTGGGCAGCCCAACTGGGTCCTTCTTAAGACCGGCAGGATGGAGGCCAACACGTACTGCTTTCATGCGCCCCATGGCCGAGGCTTCTTCTGGTGCGCTTTCTCTTTTTTGTTTTCTTTATTGTAATTTATTGTGCATTGTCGGGCAACGAGCAGAGGGGTCCTGCGCCTGCTCGCTGTACGGTGGCGAAAGGTGATCATCGTCGAGGTGATGAAGTCAGCATATCTGGTGGTGATGGCAGCGAGGCTTAGTTATTGCCCAGCAGCTGCTCTTCGAAGTTTTCGACTATGCGCTCCCTGTGGTGGATAGAATGGTTGGTCACGAGAGATGGCGAATTGCGTACGCGTGGGAAGAGGGTTGCATACTTCTTGGAGCCCACGAAGAAGAGGATGGTGGAGAGAAAGACGCTGGCAGTGGCGACGACGGTGGCCGCCCAGCCGACATACGGACCCCTGATCAAGGTTGACCGCGAGAGGAGAGATCAAAAAATGGGCTCACCACATAACCATGTCAACTCTCGGATTGACCCGTACCAGGAGACAGGGCCGCTGGATCCGATGAAGGAGCTGCAGAGCGCGTGAACATCCGCGCACATCGTAGTGTCGCCTCGAGAATAGGCGTTATTCCTTTTGTAATCGGGGCAGGGACACCGTGAGCACAAAAAACCTAAGCGTGCACAGAGTGTGATGGGCCAGAGTTGTTTTCGCTGGTACCAGAAGCTGTAGGTGGCAAAGGCGGCGCAGTAGGTGAGCGTCGACACCACGCCCGCCACCCAGGAGGCCGTCAGGAACGATGTCGAAAGCCTTCCGATCCACGCTCAACATAGGTTAGTTGTGCGAACAGGCAGTAGACACGACGATGGCGAGTGGGTAGTCGCATGCGCACCTGAGCGAGGGGAAGACCTTGCCCACCTGGTAGAAGAATTGAGCCAAGTAGAGCGCGAACGCGAGCACAAAGCCAACGATCGTCAAGCCGAGCGTGGCCTAGTGGGGCACAACGTCAGCACAGGTCTGTAATGTCGTGCTCTGAGAGGAGGAGGGTGTGCCTGAGTCAGGCTGTAGAGGTGGTCCAGGCCCAATAGGAAGTACTCTGTGCTCTTTCTCACACCGGCAGCATCCGTCTCCACTGTGCAGCCACAAAATAATCGATTTGTAAAAAATGACTGTATCCATAAAATGCTATTTACTCTACAAGTATAATGCTTGGAGTGCATACCTCCTTCCCATCGGTAGTAGATGGTGGTGTAGCGTGAGGAATCCTCGACGCGGTACCATGCAGTACCGAGGGCGATTGCTCCCAAAATCGAAGCTAGGAGGGCCAGCACTAGGGCCGACCAATTACAAGAAGCATACAGTCGCTCTCGGTGAATCATCGTGGCGAGCGAGGAAATTGAACAAAAATCTGTGCCTGCAGGCACGCGTGATCTTCGTGTTCGCGTTCCTGGCCGTGCCCAGCTTTTGTGCGGTTCGCATTTATTTTTATTTTCTTTTTTGAATTCAAGTGGTGTCTAATTAAAGTTGTATTGCATCGCAGAGTCGCCGCAACGAGGGAACGACGAAGCCGGGCGAGCGAGAAGAAGAGATGAAGGGTTGGGACGCTCACTTGTCGTCGTCTTCGTCACCGGTCTCGCCTCGAGGAAGCTCCTCCGCCGTTTCTCCGCGCGGGGCCAGCCGTTCCAGTGATGGCCTCTACGACAGCCAGACCTCGCCCCGCCTCCCCCAAAGTCGCTCCTACTCCACCCCAGGTCCGTCCTATTTTTATTTTCTTTTCGTTCTTATATATAATTCTATTTAAATAATTCAAATACAAAATAATTTTCTCTGCCCGGTGTCCCGGTGAACGACTCACGTGGGGGCGAGAGTGCAGACATGGACGGGGGCGACTCGCCGAGCGGCGGATTCTGGCGGCGGCTGAAGAAGAAGGTGGCCGAGCCGTTCGTGGTGGGGCGGAAGGTGGGCGCCGGCAGCAACTCGCCCAGCCGCGACAACTCGTTGGAGGTGGCGACGCAGCGCTACCGCGAGGCGCACGAGGAGGAGAACAACAAGACGCGCATCAAGGACATCATCCGCCGCGACCTCCTCTTCTACCCGACCTTTCGCAATGCCCTGCAGGGCAACTCCGAGCGGACCGAGTCCTCCCTGCGCTACGCCGAGCTGTATGAGCGGTACAAGGACCTCTACGCGCCGCTGCTCTACGACGACCCGGAAGACGACTGGAGCAACGTCGGCGACACCGACCGCGAGGACTCCCTGTTCCTGGCCGGCGAGGCCTACGATCCCAAGCGAGCGGCGTCCATGCTGGGGAGTCGGCAGACGATTCCGAGCGAGGTGGCCGAAGCCGATCTCACCTGGGCCAAGAACAACATCGAGGTACTGGTGGTGGACTCGGACACACGAGCGCGCACGGCCATTCGTGCTGATCTTAGCCTACAAACACAGGACAAGGAGATAGCCGACGAGCTGTGCAAGATGCAGAAGAAGATGCGGGATCGAAACGAGATCTATGTGCTTCTCACCGCCGCAAAGCGCCAGGTAGGCTCCCGCTGCTGCTTCGTGTGTGCGCGGCGTGGCAATCGCGCATGCAGTGTCTCACTTGTGCGTGGCTACCTACGAAGGTTCTCGGGGCAGGCTTCAAGACCGTACGATGGGAGCAAAAGACGGCCCGGGAGCTGGAGGAGCTCTTCGGCAGCGAAGACCGCGCGCGCGAGATCCAGCAGCTCGATGGCGCGCAGAAGGACCGGGTGATGAACAGCGTCAAGGCCCAGATCAAGGAGCTGGCCAAGTACCAGGAGGAGATCGCGCATCACTACGCCTTCTGCCAGGAGGTCCTCAAGCGTGCCTCGGACGCTCCCCAGATCGACGCCCTCGTACTCAAGTACGGCCTCCCTCTCGACCCCGGCATTGGGCAGGGCCAAGAAAAGCAGAACTAACCGCACACCACCTTCGCCCCAGGCTGCGTACGATCGCGATCGCCCACAGGGACGAATGGGCCGCTGAGATCGGCCGCGAACTGGCCAAGCGGAAAGTGCGTGTCAAGATCGTCGACTTGATTCGTTCAGTGTTTTCGATGGAAAATGCTAATGTCATTGGTTGCAGGAAGCGCTGGAGAGGGAACAGGAGCAGGAGAGGGAGAAAGAGCGTCAGCGAGAGCTGGAGGAAGAGGAAGAGCGTCAGAAGGCGAACTCTCCGCGCGCAGCCAAGTCCGAAAAGGGAGAAGAACAACCCCTGCCAGAAGAGACCAACGGTACTCCGCAACCCCACACAGCTTCACTCCCTGGCACATCGGCCTAACGATCAGTCGCACGTTACGTGCATGCGCAGTCCAAACCCGGCAGGAGGAGTCCCTGCTGTATGAGATCTCCTCCAAGGCCAGAGCCGCCAAGGTCGAACCACCACCGACCCCTGCATCGCCTATTCCTGCGAGCGCCCTCAAGCGGTAACTCTCCTTCGCAGGCAGATCTGTTGTTTTTTTAACTCTTGCTCTTACACATGTGCGACTGCGAAACGTGTACGTTTTCTGCAGGCTGCTGAGCCTCGAGGCCGGAGGATCGCTCCACCTCCCCAAGATGATGGCCATCGACTTCTCCGGCGAGGATCCGACTCGCCCCTCGCTTCAACAGGACGAAGGGTACGTACCTGCATTTGTTTTGTTATGGGTGGGTGGATGGGGCTTGCTTGGCCTTCCGCGACTAAACTACGAAGCGCCCGCGCAGAGAGGAGGAAGCGGGTCAGCCCCAATCACCGCTGACGACGTCGAACCAAAACAAGTTTGTCTCCGTGCGAAAGAAGCAGCGGAAGCCATCGCTCAACGAGCTGTTCATCATCGGCCGGCGGGAGAACACCATCGGCCGGGCCGTTGACGAGTCGACCCAGACGGCGCCGGCCGCAGCCAACGCACCTGGTGCCGAGAAGAAGAAGGACGCAGCCGAAGGTCGATATGATCACGAAGAGAAGAAGAAGGTTGAGGAGGACTTCATCATCGTGTTCAAGTACGGGGGCAAGGCCTATCGCTGCAGCGAGAAGGAGAAGACCATTCTCGAACGACAGGTCAAGACACTGGACCCGAGCACCTTCCAGATGCTGCTGGACGACTTCCAGCTGGAGGTCTACGCCGTGCTCGACGAGCCCCAGGCGCAGGCGCCCCAGGTGCTGTCGGCCGAGCCGCCCCAGCCCGAGAGCAGCCCGGCCGAGAAGAGCGAAGACGAAGAGGATAGCGAAGAGGAGGAGAAGGAAGAGGAGTGGGAGGCTGAGGAGGACGTTGACGACGCGTTCGGCAGCAAGACGGAGACCAACAACACCAACAGCACCAAGAACAGGCGAAGGCGACGACGAAGGGGCAAGAGGAGAAACGCGGCGGCGAGCGCGACCACCGCCACGCCACAGCAGAAGAGCGAGGCGGCGACGGCGACGACGCCCCAGAAGAACGTCTCGGGGCAGAGCCAGGGAGTAGAGCTGGGCGGCCGAGTGTGGACCAGGTCGCCCGCCTCGCCCTTCACCCCGTCGAAGAGGGCGAACCGTCTGGCGGAGAAGAACAACACCATGCGCGACACCATGCGGAAGCGCATGCAGCTGGCCTACGAGGAGGAGGTCCACAAGCAGCACGGCGGCGCTGAAGGCGGCAAGAGTCCGCTCGTGTGGAAACGAGAGAGGAAGGGCGGCAGCCAGCTCCAACCGGCCACCGTCAGCAGCAGGAAGAACGTGGCTTAGTCGATCCCGCGAGATAAACGTTGCTCACAACCTTTTTCTCTTTTCCTTTGATGGCCGCGCCATTACCTTTTGGCGGTTGAGTGCCGGCATAGATCAGCGGCTTGTACACATTCTGGGATCGCGAGCAGCCTTCTGCGGCGGTCTTCAAAGGCATTTGAAGATTGTTGGCCCAGGTGCTTGGTAACCTAAACCCACAGGGGCTCTTTTGTGGCTTTCCGGAGTCAGACAATGGTAAAGAGAAAAGCACCACAACAACATCGACCTCAAGACGGTTGAAGAAGGCGGAACAAAAATAGAGAGAATATGGTCCCGCTGGGAAGGCGCAAGAGGGCAGCGTCAAATATTAGCTCTCCGCGCGAGAGGAGGCGAGATGCGGCGAGTCGGGGTCCCTCGACACTGCACAGCGCCCAGCTCAGAAGTTGGATTATCCAACAGGAGGGGAACACTTCTGTGTTGTTTTAATATTTATTTTATTTCGTGTCTACAACTCCAGGAGTTTCGTTCTGGTTTGTTTGAGCGAGGGCTCGTCGCCCCAGCTTACAAACAGGTCGCGTAGTTTGGAAGTGTCGAAGGTGGAGCCGTGCTCTACTGGTCGTGTCGTACGGCTCCGAATAATTGCTTTCTTGACCCGTCCGAGGAGGGGGTCTCTGGTTGGGTGGAAGTCTGCTGCCTCGTAGAGGGCTCCGATGGCCGCGGAGAGGCTGGCGATTGTCGATCGGGGGCGCTGGCTGCTCCTGGTGGTGGACTCCAGGAAGCTGGCAACTAGCCCCACCGCTACGGGCTGCTGTGGGGGGAAGCTGTGCCCGTGGCTCAGGCAGTAGCTGCGGAAGCGGCGGAGATTGCCAGCGTATCAACACCAGGTGGATGCCACGAGCGCCTGGTTGAGCAGGTTGGCTGCAGCTGGGGACCATCCAGCTGGGTTGGGCAGCCAGAGATCCTGAAGGCTGCCCAACGCCATCGCTTGTTGTGGAGTGGCTTGGGTGTGCTGTCAAATCTGCTGGTGAAGCTGGTCGAGTTCATTGGAATTCAGACCGGGGAGTTGATCAACAGCCGCTGCAGGTGACTGGCCCACCTGCAGCCCGGCCAGATGGGGGCCACGATTGTGGCGGTCACTCCTTGGCGCTCCACGAGGTTGAGGATGTGAGGGATGAGGGCGATTGGGGGCGCTGTCCAGTTGTTGTCGTTCCTCCAGTCTTGGAGGAGGCAGTCCGTGGCTTCGCCGTCTGCTTCCATGAATCTTGAATTGAACCGTGGGAGTTGTCTGTTCTCCCTGGTTGCCGTCTGGTCGATGGAGTGGGGACCCCACTTCTTGTTGATTGATTCAAAGGCCTCTCTCGAGAGATGCCATTCGTGGTGAGGGTGGAGACGGCTGAGGCGGTCGGCTTCGCTGTTGCAGAGGCCAGGAAGGTACGCCGATGAGAGTTGGATGTGGAGGCGTTTGCAGAGGAGATGGATCTCCTTCTGAACCCTGTTCATGGCTACGCTCTGTCCGCCCATGTGGTTGAGGTGGGCCACCGTCGCGATGTTGTTGCATCGCATGAGGATCGCTTTTCCTTGAAGGTGTGGTTGCAGGGCAAGGATTGTGTTGCGCACCGTGGCAAGCTTGAGGATGTTGATGTGGCTCTTGCTGTCGTCGCTCGACCACCAGCCTGCTGCCGTAAGGGTCTGACAGCTTGAACTCGCTCCCCAGCCACTTAGGGAGGCGTTGGTTTCGAGGATGACGTCGTGTGGGCGGAGGACTGCGATCCTCCCGTTCCACGTGGAGAGGCTGTGGCGCCACTCCTTGAGGTTGTTGGTGGTCGCTGGTGAGAGCTTGATGGAGCTGTTCCAGCTTGTCCGCTGGCCAATGTTGTGGTAGGCATTGTGAAGCAGGAGCTTTGCCGGGAGAATTGCTCTTGTGAGGGCCATGCCCTGGCTGACAACTGCTGCCAGGCGCTGGACTGGGACTGATCTGTGCGTCTTGGCGTGTTGGAGGAGATGGTTGATGTTGTGTTGTAGGTTGTGGGCTTTCCTCAGGGGAACATGGAATGTGGGGGTCGATGATGTGTTGACCATCAGCCTGAGGAACTCCTTGCACTGGCTTGGGGTGGTGTTGGACTTCTTGGTGTTCACTACCCACCCCAGCTTCTTGAAGAGGTGGAGAGTGAAGGTGGTGTGGTGATGGGCTTTGGTGTAGCTCTGGCTGAGGATGATGACGTTGTCCATGTAGGCCATTGCTTGGATGCCCTGGTGATGTAGGAATTGCACTGTTGCATGGACGTAATGTGTGAAGATCCAGGGTGAGGCTGCTAGGCTGAATGGAAGGACTTGGAATGCATACATCTGGTTCTGCCAGGCGAAGGCTAGGAGGTGTTGGTGGGCTGGGAGGATGGAGACGTGATGGAAGCCGTCCTTCAGGTTGATCGTTGTGATGAAGTCGCCGCTCTGGAGAAGGGGCGTGAGGGTTGAGAGATCCTTGTACTTGAACTTCGGCGGCGACACTGAGACGTTGAGGAGCCGCATATTGATGATGAGGCGGCTCTTGCCGTTTTTCTTCAGTACCACCCCAATGGGTGATACAAAGGCCAACTCGTTCGAGCCCAGGAGCCGGATGGCCCCCGAGCGGATGAGTTGGTCGATCTCTTCCTCCACGAACGTCGTCTGGAGATCGTCCAGATGGTGGTTGTGGAGGACATGAAGCTGGGGAACGTTGTGGAGAGGCAGGGGAACCCCCCTCTCGATCCAACGTAGCACTGAGAATGGCGCACCAATCTTGCGCCACTCGCTCAGTCAAGAGTTGAAGCCGGGCCGTTCGCTTGGTGAATCGCTTCGGCTTTGTTCCTCCATCCCCTGGGGGAGGGACGGAGGCGTCGACGTGTGGGACACTAGTTCGCATTGGTGCCCGCGCTGGCACCGTGGCTCTTGGTTGATGTGCTCTTGTTGAATGGCTTCGTGTACTTGTTGGATTGAGGTTTCGATCGGTGTTGCGCCTGGCCCGTTCCTGAGCCGCGCTTGGAGTTGGAGGTTTTCGCGGCCGCCTTGGCGAGCGTGATGGCGTCCATGAGGCGGGTGCGCCGTTCTCCGTGTAGTGATGAGCCGGGGAGCGCGTTGAACTGTTGTAGCGTCTCCTCGCCGTACTTGCGACGGATGAGCATCTGGTCGCGGGCGTCGAGGATGGTCTTCATCACGTAGAGGGTCGCCGTGGCGAAGGTGCCGATCTCGTCGGCGAGTTCCTCGTGGCGTTGCGCCATGAGTACGCACAGGCGGAGAAGGGTCTTCTGTGCCTTGAACGTCTTCCGAAGATTAGTGACGTGGGAGAGGTCTTCCTTCGAGAATCCCACGCCCTCGCTCTTCGGGAATTCGCACATCGAGCCGATATGTACCCGATAGGTAGATCGTTCGATGAGCTCGTTGGCATCATGGAGCCATTCGTCTCGTGGGTCGAGATTGTTGACGAAGTCCGGGGTCGCGGTCGCAGCGGTAGGAAGCGCGTGAGGGGCGTAGACGGCCGGTTGGGCCTCGTCTTCGCTTTCCTCGACTTCGTCCTCGTCGTCAGCCGCGATTTTGCCCTTGTGGTCCGCACGTTTTTGGGCGAGTTCTTGGGCTAACTGGCGAGGGGCTTCTGGTTGTACCACGCGAGGTTCGTCAGCCACCGGTTTGGTGGACTTGGGGGGTGAGGCGACCGCGGTCGCTGCCGGTTGCAGTCGTTCCGCGATCATCTCGAGGAGGGCCATGAAGCGGTCTTCCCGCTCGTCATGGTTTGGACGTTGAATCGCTGGGGGCGATGAAGAGGACGATTTGTTGTCCTCCATTCGCAACGAAGCGGATAGCACGGCTAGTCCGCGCGATGCTTACAGCTCGAGGAAAAAAGAAGAACCCCGAATACGGGGATTGTTTTAATATTTATTATTTTATTGTTGTAGACACGAAATAAAATAAATATTAAAACAACACAGAAGTGTTCCCCTTCCCTCGGGTAATCTTAGTTACCCTCGGGTAACGAGTAGCGCGGAACAGCCCAGGATCGGGCGGAAGCTCGACTTTGGCGGTGCGTCGGAGGACTCGGAGGAGTCGGCCTCCTACACCGACACAAGCAACCACTCCACCCCCAACATCAGTCCCCTCTCCTCTCCCATCAACTCCCCCCGCATGCGCCGGGTGGGCGATAGCGCCTATGTCTTCACCTCGGTCCCCTGTTCCCCCGTCGCGCCTCGGACCTCGAGTCACCTCACCCTATCGACGCCGCCGCTGCCGCGCAAGAAGTCGGCCCAACTCCACCTGCCCATGGCCTCCGTACAGAGCCAAGACTCGCTCGCAGGGCTGCTGTCGCCCGGCCGCGCGCCGACAAACAGCGGTCGGCTCGAGCGACTGTTCTCCAGGTTCAGGAATAAGAGCTCGACGGTGGCGCGGAGGGCCAGCAAGAAGTCGCCCAAGCTGCCACGCGCGGTGAGCGACGAGCAGCTGGACCACCACATGCAGCCCGAGGAGACGATCCACGACGATGCCGATGACGAGGAACCTGGCCGCCCGCCCTGGACCCGATCGGCCACCACCTCGTTCCTCCCCGTGCCCACCAGCTTCTCGTTCAGCCCTATTGCTCATCACCACCAGGCTGGCTCGGGTGGCGAAGTGCTCAGCGGTCGATCATCGCCGATGGCACTGCCCCGTAGCAACAGCGGCTTCGTGGCTTCGCAGTCACATCACCTCTCGCTACCACCAGCCATCGCGACCTATGGCCGTCGCGGTTCAGGAAGCACCGATCTGACCGGCCTGCTGCCTATGCAGTCGCCGCCGCAGCTCATCAGCCCGCTGTCGTCGGGCGTGGTGCCGACGGCGCCCACCGCCAGCACGTCGCTCGCGTACGAGTCGATGTTCGGCGACCTGGCGATCAAGGCCGTCTTCCACAAGGCGTCGCTGGCCGAGGGCCTCGACGTCTCGCTGCTGCGCGTCAACGAACGGAAGCTGGACTTCTCGCTGGTAGTGCACCAGCTGGAGGCCATGCACCAGTTCCAGTGCCGCGGGGTGGCGATCGAGCTGTGGTACGTGGACGACGATGGCGACCAACTGCGCATCACCGACACCCCGGGCCTCGTCTACGCCTGCCAGGACTGGCGAGCCCAGCTACACAAGACCGGACGAGACCGGCAATCGAAGCAGGGTGTGTGCCGCAGCTTACGCCTCTACATCAACGAGACAGGGTGGATGGTGGCCCTCAATTTTTGCATATTTTACGTTAATCTGTAAATTACAGCACAATTCGAAGAAATATTTCGTAGCCACAAGCTTCTGCATCTCTTTGCCCCAATCTTCTGCCAACACCAACCTTCGAAGAAGAAGATTAACATGTTCGGGTTTGGATCGTATTTGTCTTCGCCGGCCCAGGATGTCGTCCTGTCCGAAGGGGCCGTTGAGCGCATGCGCACAGATGCGAGCACATCAGACCACCCAGTGCTCCAAGTTGTTGCCCACCGCGCTATACAGGCGGTTCCATCGGCTGGGCACCCACCACCGGCCACGCGCTACCGGTACCCCCCCCCCAAGCTCAACTTGCTCCTTTGCGAGTTTTAATTTAGACCCTTTCGTGGGGCATAATACCAGGCTGACCCTGTCGGACGGGCGGCACTACATGATGGCCCTCCTGGCCTCACAGGTAGAACTACTTTCCCCGATTCTTCTGCTGCTTCTTGCACTCGGTTACCTTCTAACCCTCGAGCTCTCGGTTCGTCTGCGTGTTACAGCTTGCCCACCTCGTCGAGGGCGGCACTCTCGCCACGGGCTCCATCGTCCGGCTGCTTGACTTCGCGGTGACCAGCGTGCACGACAAAAGGTGCAGCGCACGTTTGGGTTCGTTTTAAGAGAGAGAGAGGGAGAGAGGCTCTGCTGACGTTGTTCATATTGCTGCAACAGGCTGATCGTCATACTAAACCTGGAGCTGGTGTCTCCGCCTCGGGCCATCGTCAATGAAGATCACCTGGAGTCCATCGACCAGCAATCCCAGGCCTCCACTCCATCTGCTGCGCCGTTCCCGGCCTCGCCTTCGTACTCCACACACAGCCCCAGCTTCAACCTCTCGGCGCTGGCTTCCGCGCTGCCCAAGACGCCCGCCAAGTCCGTGTTCACCTTCGGCGCCGCGGCGTCGCCTCCCGCTTCGACCGCGCCTCCGCCCAGCTCCGGCTTCGACCTCTCGCCGCTGGCCGCTGTTCTGCCCCGCACCTCCGGTTCGACGCACGCGTCGCCGTTCCGCTCTACGCCGCCGCGCTTACAGGCCTCGCCGAAGGCGGACGACGTTGGTGTCATCACCTCCGTCGCCGATCTCAATCCCTACCTCGTACCTACTCTCGCTTGACCTCCCATCTCGTTCCTCCGCTGTCTTGATGCGGCGGTCCTGGCCGTCAGCTGTCTGCCCGGCTCCCTGACCCCAGCCGACTGTTGTGTCACACCCACAGAGTCGGTGGACGATTCGGGTCAAGGTCACGTCCAAGGGGGATGTCAAGCACTACCAGACCGCTCGGTATGTCGACGACGACGACATCAGCGTCTGGGTTGGTGTAGTGTGTTGGTATTACTAACCCCCCCCCCTTTCCTTCCCACCAACGCTACAGCGGACCCGGGAAGCTGCTAGCCATCGATCTGATGGACGTTGCCGGCACCGAGATTCGCGCGGTCATGTTCAATGAAGCCGTTGACAAATTCGAGAGCATCATCCAGCAGGGCAATGTGCGCGCACCTCCCCCTCAGCCCCCTTGCCCTGCGCCAGGAGCCTGATTGAGTGTGCGTGTGCGCGTGCGTGTGCGCGATATTGCAGGTGTACTCGATCGAGAAGGCGACGCTGAAGGTGGCCAACAAGAAGTTCTCACACATCAACAATGACTACGAGATCACCATCAGCCCCGCGTCGGTCGTGGAGGCCGTCGCCGACACCTTCCCCGGCCTGGTCTGTCATTTCGCGCCCCTGAGCGATATCAGAGAAAAGAAGGCCGACGACCTCCTCAACACCATCGGTACACATCGCCCGTTTCCAATAATGCTCCGCTTGGTTCGAGTGCCCCGCTCGGCTGACGCGACCGAACAACAATCAATCCGCGTTGACCAGGCGTGATCACCAACGTTGGTGACCTGGTGTCTCTCAGCACACGGCGCGGTACAGATCTGGAGAAGCGCTCCCTCGCTCTCAGCTCTCGCGAGGTATCCGTGGAGCTCACCTTGTGGGGCCAAGCGGTATGACTTCTCTCCCTCTTGCTCCGTCCGTCCGTCCGTCATCGGCGACGGTGCGATTGAGGTTCAACTTTGGCAGGCTGCTTCGTTCGAGGGTTCCGCCGGGGACGTGTTGGGCCTCAAGAGCGTCAAAGTGAGCGAGTGGCAAGGTAAGCGCAGCGCGCATGTGGATCGGATCGTATGATCGTGTGTCTCAGCAGAAACCTTCGTTCTGTGTGCGACTGAACGAATGAAACCCGCTATGGGCTACTACCCAGGGAAATCGCTGGTGCATCTCTCGCACACCACGTTGTACCTCAATCCGGACATCCCCGCAGCACACGACCTCAAGCAGTGGTAATTGTCGCCATGCCCATTGATGCCCCACATGCACCGCCATGTCAGCGCCCTCGCGCTCATTCACACACAACCACACAGGTGGCAGAGTCAGTCCCTGCAGGGAGCCACTCAGGCCTCTTCTTACGGCTCCTCCCGACTGTTCCCCGCCAGACGGAAGCACAAAGCAGAGGCGGTGAAGACCATCCAGGAGATCAAAGCCCTCGACGTGTCGGTACCGACTCTCTTCAACCCGCACGCCCTTGACTTCCGTCAGATGGTTGAGCCTCGGTGGTGGTTGCATTGATTGGGGTGCAGGGCGGCTCTGCGTTCGTGGTAGTGAACGCCACCGTGGCGTTCATCAAGTACGACATCAGCGGGAACACTTACTACCGATCCTGCCCCAACGAAAGCTGCGCCAGGAAGGTGCGCCGCAGGCCTCTTCCTCTTTCTCTTGGTTTGAAGACCGCTCACGCGTTGGCGTTTGGCTTGGCAGGTGGTCGACGTCGGCGGCAGTTATCGCTGCGAGATGTGTAACGCATCGTACGATCACTGCCAATACCGGTGAGCCATCCCTCGCACACGCACACGCACACGCACACGCACACGCACACGCACACGCACACGCACACGCACACGCAACACGCACACGCACACGCACGCTGCAGCCTGATAACTGCTCACTTTTTGTCCGCTGTGTCACCGCCGCGCCGCCACAGCTACGTCATGTCGGTGCGGCTGATCGATCACACGGACTCGCTGTGGGCGACGGTCTTCAACGACGTGGGCGCAACGCTCCTCGGGGTTCCCGCCTCCGAGGTGGCCGACATCTGCGAGAATCGGGTAAGCCGTCGCACTGCATCTTCCATCCCCCACTGCTTCCCTTCGACCCCGCATCGTTGAACGTTATTCGTTCGGTACAGAGCGACCAAAGGGCGCTGGAGGAGGTGATGAACAGGGGCCTCCTCCACAAGTGGCGGCTCAAGCTGCGCGTGGCGGAGGAGAGCTGGGGCAACTTTGATAAACGCATCAGGTACGTCACCTGGGCTCATAGGGCACTCCAACCGCACAAAGCCCCCCCCCCCCGCTCATGACGTGCGTCCTTCTCTTTTCGTGTCACACAGAGCCACCATCATGTCAGCCGAGCCGCTGAACTACGCTGCCTCCGCGTCTGACGTCACCTCCAGCATCAGCCGTTTGCTCGCCCAGCAGTGACCGAGCTTCAAGCTGGCGACCTGTCACCCACTTTTGCGTCCTATAAAGCCCCCGCGTGCGGAAAGGTTTCTTGTGAGTGGCGACCAGAAGGGGATTACAGCTTGCCGAGGTCCTTGGTGAGGAGGATCTTGGGCTCCGTGAACTCCTCGATCGTGTAGCGGAGACCCTCTCTGCCCACACCGCTGCTCTTGATGCCGCCGTACTGCGCACCACCACGTCGTGTCAGACCACACGTCCACACCACACCACACCACAAAAGACGGGAGCGTACGGGCTGCGCGTCGACGCGCACGGAGGGGATGTCGTTGATGACGACGCCACCGACCTCGAGCTTGTCATAGGCGTACCAGGCCTTCTTCCACTCGTTGGTGAACACGCCTGGGTTGGGCACTGTGTTAGTGCACAGAGAAGCCGGAACTCGGTTTGGAGAAGGAGGAGGCGAACCGGCCTGCAGACCGAAGCGCGAGTTGTTGACCTGTTCAATGGCCTCCTTGAAGTCGCTGAACTTGTGGAGCACGCAAATGGGGCTGCAGCCAAAATGTCGAAGAGGAAAAAGAAGCAGGCGCGTTTAGATAGACGCGATCGAACGTGCTCGAGAGAGTTGGGACCGGGAAGGAGGGCGCACCCGAAGGCCTCCTCGCACGCAAGCTTGGCTGAGTCGGGAACGTCCTCCAGAATGGTCGGGTCTAGAGTGCCCGCATGACACGTCAGCAGCTGCTGCACGAAACACACACGCCCCAAAGGCTTTGGCGGAAAACGCACCGAAGACGGAGCCGTCGCGTGAGCCGCCGGCCAGGACCTTGCCGCCCTTCTCCTTCGCCTGGGCGCGGGGGTGGTGAGACAAGGACCACGGACGAGGCAGGATGGGGGGGGGGTACCTCCTGAACCCACGACTCGAGGCGCTTGGCCGAGTCTTCACTGATCAGGGGACCCACAAAGGTGTCCTCGTCGCTGTAGGTTTTGTGGAGACGTGAGTGGTGGAAGAACGAAGACGAAAAAGGGAGGGGGCTTGTACAAAGGATCGCCCTTCTTGAGGGTCTTCACATGAGCCACCAGCTTCTGCTTGAGCTCCTCGTAGATGGACTCGTGGGCGTACACACGCTGCACCGAGATACTGTGCGACACGACGCACGACACGCACGATGCGCGCAAGTGTTGGTTTAAGGAGTGAATGAGTGGCCACACTCCACCTCACTTCATGGTGCGTTGGTCGCGGTACCAGGACTGGCCGGCGTAGTAGAAGGCGCCGAAGCCGATGCGCGACACCACGTGGTCGACGTCCGACCCCTCGTCCACGACGCACGCCGCGTCGCCGCCCAGCTCGAGCAGCACCTTCGACCGGCCCGCGCCCCGCTGCAGCGCGAAACCCACCTGCTCACTGCGTGGGCGACCAGTCCGATCAGCAACCGACGCCCACCCACCCCCATCACCCCCATCAATTCAAGAAAGGCGTACCTGCCGGTGAACGACAGGACCTGGATGCGCGGGTCGGTGGAGAGCTTCTTGGCGTCCTCGAGCTTGCACGGCAGCACGGAGAAAGCCTTTGGGCGGGATGGGGGGGGGGTGAAAGGTGTAAGGTGAAAGGTGAGCGGCGATTGAATGGAATGTGGGGTGTACGAGGGAAGAGGAGTCGTGGGCGCAGGAGGCTGACGTACGCCGTCGGGGAGTCCGGCCTTGGAGAGGATGTCGCCCACGAGAAGGGCGCCCACCGGTGTGACATCTGCTCGGCATGGGGGGGAGAAGGGCGGCGTTGGTACGTGGTGGAAAAAGAGAAGCGGGCGAGATACGAAAGCGGGGGCCAACCGTTGGGCTTCAAGACGAAGGGGCAGCCGGCGGCGATGGCGGGCGCCACCTTGTGGGCCACGAGGTTGATCCTGCGTACATACAAAGATACGCGTCAAGGCGGGAGAGGGAAGAAAGAGAAGGGGCCGGACAGACTGCACGTACGGGAAGTTGAAGGGCGTGATCATGGAGATGAGGCCGACGGGGAAGCGGCGCACGAGGCCCGTGAAGCCGGGGTTCCTGACCGGGCACGGTCGCGTGGTGGCGAGTGGTGGCGAGTGAGTACGGAGCCGAAAGTGGTGAGTGGTGAGTGGGGAAGGAAGGTACCTGACGGAGACGTCGAGAGGAAGAAACTCGCCGTACTGGCGGATGGCCTCCTCGGCGGCGATGGTGAAGGTGTCGTAGGCGCGGCCCAGCTCGGCGCGGGCATCCTTCAGAGGCTTGCCGGCCTCCTGCGTGTGATACGGTGAAGAACAGGGTGAGCAGAGGGTGCGCTACATCGAACAACGACGGGAAACCCTTTGGCAAGGGTGAACGTACGACGCAGAGAGAGTGCAGGAGCTCGTCCTGGCGCCTCTGGATCTCGGCAGCGCAGTAGAGGAGGATTTCCTTGCGCTTGTAGTTGGGCAGCTCCTGCAGCACAGCAGCCGTCAATAAAATGAACAAACAAATAAATAAAATAAAAGCAGTGTAAAAAGAACGAAGCCTTGGGGGGAGGGGGCGACCCGCATGGCAGGGGCAGCCTGGTGAGCAAGCTGCAGGGCGTTCTCAATCTCCTGCGGGCCGGCAAGGGACACCTCATAGCCCACCTGCACCGATTCGAGAAGATTGATTATTGGTGAAAGCAAGAGAAGATGCATCGAGATGGCAGTGTGCCGCACCTGCTTGGTGTACTTGTCGAACACCTTGAGCGTGGTGGCGGTGGTGACAGGCTTGCCACCCACAAAGATGGGGAATGCTCGTCCAACTGTGGCCTGTCTCTTCAACATCTTTTCGCTGTCGGTTTGTCCCTGTGTGGGCGATTTTCAATCTTTACCGCGGCTGCCCGATTTTGTGTAGAACCCAGATTTTAGAAGATGCTCACTACCCAACCCTTCGGCAATGCTCATTTCGAAGCTTAGGGCAGGAATGTTTGAATTGGATGGGTTTATTAACACATAAAACATCGCACAGCACAATCGCCGTTGGCGTAGCGTCACGTACCTGCGTGAGAAAGAATTGGTGAGATGGGGTTCGGAAAATTGATGAGATTGAGAAGAAAGAGAAATGTGGTGTTCAGGGCTTGACTTCTATAAAAGGTCCTCATTATGGTGTCATATTTGACTAGTCGGAGAAGATAGTGTCATCATGAAGAGAGGGTGAGGGCAGGCAAGGGCAGATCTGGTGCTGTACCTTAATCCAACGAAACGGGTCCGCCGGAGCACGATCTCTCGCTGCCTAAGCCCAACGCTGCGCGATCTGCAAGAGATGAACATCGATGAGATCGCAGATTCGAGCGGAGTAGCACAGAGATTAAAGCGGCACATGGAAGTCAGGTTATAATTGGTGATAGACGAATCATGAACCGCTGGGTTGTAAGTCCAGCGTCATAGTCATGGAAGAAAACATCACTCCAGGACGTGGATGAACGAGGGCGTTTAGAAGGTTGGGTGGCGTGTTGGCGTACCGCAGCGGAGGACAGGAGCGAGGAAGGCGATGGCTGAGGAAGAGTGGAAGAGGAGGACTAGCTCCGGTTTTGTTTGTGCATTGTCGACAAAAATAAATGACGTCAGCGCCCACCTTGACGCAGCAGCGGTGTTTGTTCATGTGGCCGCGGCCTTGAGGCTGGCGAGCACTTCCTCGGCCAGGAGCTTCACCTCGGCCTTCTGTGTGCGTCGTCGGATCTGTTCCATCACGTTGCCGCACCGCAGCTGCTGGAGCTTGGCCTTTCCGTCTCCTGACGGACCCGCACCACAAGGCAAAGGTGAGTCAGGGCTCAGGGCTATGGTCCACGACGCGCACACGTACCGTCAAGGGAGAGGTGGAGCAGAGCGCGTAGAGCCCACATTTGCTCCTCGAGATCCGAAGACTCGGAAGAGGAGAGAAGTACACCCAACAGGGTGCCATTCTTCATTTTCGCCTTCAGCTCATCTGTGCAGTTTCGTGGCACTTAGCTGACCATTACGAGGCTAAAGACGAGGAAGCAAGGGTACTGCGCTTCATGAGGTACCATCGAATGAGAGTTGGACCAACGCCGCGAAGCAGTGGGCGCGCGTGGCCGAGCTGCTGGTGGCCGTGTTCTCGAGGTATCGGCCAATGGCGTCCACGGCTCCGCTGTCGCCCAGCCTGCGCCGCACCGACGCTGCCCCGAAAGCACGGATCAACAACCCGCCCACAATACACGCATGTAGGGTCGGTGGGCATTCATGGCCTCTCACCTGTAAGCGCGAGCTGGCCCATTGCCGCAACGGAGTAGAGGCGGGCATTCTCCGTAGGCGCCCGATCGAACAGGGTCACCACCGCCTCCACGGCATTGAGGTCCGCAGCCCGCTTTCGGGACTCATCTGTGACAAGGACGGCACACGGGAGTATATAAGGAATCAAGCCCACTCAGCAGTGTGCAAACATCTTTAAAAACGAAGCAATGGAGAGGCGGGAGAACCTGTGGCGGCCAGATGCACCAGCAAATGGGCCGATTGCGTTCTCAATTTCTCGTTGTGGCTCTGCAGATAGCCGACGATCTTGTCCAGTACTTTGGTGCCCAGTATTCGGTTCCTGAGGTGTTGGCGGCGAGAGGTGGCATGAGATAGTGTGTCGGATGAGGGTCAATCACGCACCGTCCCTACCTGTAGCTATCGTTCGAAGCAAGGATGGCGAGGATGGTGACCGCCGGCGCCTTGACTTCGTCGTACGGGTTGTTGATGGTGGTTTTGATGATCGACGAGAGACCACCTTCACCCACCCGCAACCGGTAATTGCCTGCATCAGCCCCGACGACGTTGTTGGGAGTTGAGCCTTACAGGGATCGTGAACGCAGGGGAAGAGGGCGGACGCACGATCATCGGCGAAGTGGACCAGGGACTTGAGCGCCCACTTGCGCGAGCTGTCGCTCAGCCTCCCGTTGATCCCCAGCAGCATATTGTACAGACAGCCACGTTCTGCGATGATCGATCGCCAGCTATCTATACTCCATTAACGCGACACGTCAGAGCTTCTGACAGTCGAGTCCCACGAGAGAGTACAGCCAGCGCACTTGTCTGCTCTGTCGGGGGTGCCGTGTACCGAATCGAGACAAACGCGAGAGTGTGTGGAGGGCTTCGGCTTGCGGCTCGATGTATTTAGACAGCAGGAGCATATTCGTTGCCTCGATCACCACACTCTGTGCCTCATGATCCATTAAGGGGCCTGCGCGTGTCACGACGAAAGGCGGGGGGGGGAGAGAGAGAGAGAGAGATGCAATAATCAATCGATCAGTCGGACTCTCGCGTGCTCTCACACGACAGAGCAGTAATCAGGGAACCATTCGGTGAGAGAAGTCCGGAGGAGGAGGAGATCACCGAAGGGCGATAGGGCGCGGATGGCCTTGGCCGCGTCCGTCTGCTGGCCGCGCTTGCCGACCATGGCCAGAGTCAACAGGGGCTGCATGTGCTGTTTGCTGAGCACCGTCGTCGGGTTCTTATCTGCAATGCAGAAGCAGCGGCGCGTCACGTCACCAGGTCAGCGCGCGCACCGCCCGCCAGTAGTGGGGTCGGCGGGTACCGTGCTGGGCAAGGCGAGCCAGGGCACTGCAGGCAAGCACGGCCACGGCCTCGTTCTCTACGCCACTGAGGACCAGTAGCGCTGGCCGCCACTGCTTCGCTATCGTTTCCTGGTGTTGCTCTACACGTCCGTGGTGGAAGGGGGAGGTTAGCATACGACTCTTAAGAGCGCCTCGGTGTGGTTCTGGGCGGGCTTGGGCGAGACCTGAGCTGCACAGCGTGGCCAGCACACTGAGGCCCTTCATGGCCAGTTCCACATCGTCAGGGAGAGCGGCCAGGATTGTGAGGATGCCCCGTTCGATCGCCACATCTCGGTTGGGCTCTGCGCCGTGATCGCCCCCGCCCACCACCAGGTGCCCGCCGTGGTTAGAAAACGTGTTGCTCGCCCGGCTCGCGTGCAAGCGAGCAGCGAGTGAGAGGAATGTCCACCGTGGAGTAGCAGGAGAGAGAGCAGGTCCAGAGAGTAGTTCCTCGCGTAGGGGTACGCCGTGAGCTGCACGGCCAGCGCCACCAACTCGTCGTCTGTTTCGATGCGCCACGCCACCAGTGTTTGTCAGAGCGGCCGGTGGTCGCGGCAGTGCAGCAGTGCACAGAGAAAGGTGAGGATCCGCGCACTGCCGAGCACACAGAGTCCCGCAACAGAGCCGAGGGAGGCCACGCCGTAGAGAGCCAACCTTCGGTGCCTTCGTGCACGGGCCGCTGCGCTCTCCATGGTCTTTGACCGCACCACACCTGCAGGTGCGCCCGACAACCGCGAAAAAGCGAGTGATTAAATCATATTTATGAAATAAAAGAAGAGATGGAGCAGCGGCACCGTGGCTGGCGTGGAAGGAGACCCGTCTCCGCGTGGTGGTCAAAAAATGTGCCAAACTGCTCCTTCGATTGTAGCCAAGATTGGGCAGGAGCGGTGTTCGCGTGGCCAGCGGGAGGCTGACATGAGGCGGGGTGTGTAGGGCGCCAGCAAAAGCGGCCGTGCCCCGCCGCGGGGCGTGCCCACTCGTGCCCAAGCCAGCAGTCCGCCACATACTGAATGTCTAATAAGCATAAATACTACATTTTCTCGCAATTTTCTCTGATGGTCCATTTTTATGATAAAATGGAAATGTCGTGTGCAAGTCCGAGTGAAGGTTGCAAGGAGACGAAGCTGAACCGGTGAGTGGTGCTGCTCGCCGGGTGACGAAGACCTTGCTACACGCATCTTTACTCCTAGCGCACTTCGCCCCTCCCTCTTCTTCTCTTAGGCCTCAGCCACCGCTTTCCTCGGGTACCACACCCACTGCTGAATTTTTGAATTATTCAAATGTCCGATACGTGTGGCCGACGAGTTATCTGCCCCTCGAGGTTTGCTCACTGTTGTGGTTGTGCGTGCCAAGATGGAAGTGCTCCCGTCTTCACGTCTGGACCTACACACTGATTCCGATTCGACGGAGTGGGGTGCCGCGTGCTCGTTCCCGCTCGACTCTATGTCCATCGCCTCGCCGTCTCCCTCTCCCCTCCTCTCCGCTACCCCCCGCTCGCCTAACACTCCACCACGAAGCCCTTCACTCTCTTCACACGGCGACGCCGACCTCCACGAGAACGAAGAAGGTGACAGCCATGGCCACGCCACCATCGTCACCCCTTCGCCCGAACCGATCGCCCCTCTTTCCTCGTCTGCCTCAGGTTCCTCGCCACGCGAGGCCGCAAATGGTGGTCTTTGCGGCTTCGCCTCATTTTCAGATAGCTCCGAGGAGATTGTGGCGCACAGTTACCTGTCAACGGAGCCCCTGCTGCCACCACCGCACGGCCTGCCACCGCCGCCCGTGCCCCCATCATCGCCTGCCGCACTTGCCTCCGCTCCAGCCGCGTCTTCGTCGCAGGCCACGGAAGAGCCGCCGGTGCCTCTGCTGGCTGCCGCCACGCAGTTGCCGCGGCTCGATCTGGAGTCGCTGATGGGCAGCCTGACTTCGCTGTCGTCGCTCAGCTGCCTCTCGTCCCTCTCGTGCCTCACCGCTCTCTCATCGCTTTCGGCGCTTTCCGCCCTCTCGTCCCTCTCCTCGCTCGCCGCGCTGGCGCCCGGCCATGCTCACGCCGGCCCGGCCCCGCCCGCGACCCCCGTCATCCCACCCTCGCTCGCCTCGCTCATCTCCTCGCTCGCGGCCCCTCCCACACACTACTCTCACCACCACCACCACCACCACCACGCGCCAGCGCAGAGCGCGGTCGTGTTCGCTGCCGCCCCGGTGCCGTTCACGCAGCTGCCGAGCCAACAGCAGTCGACGATCAACAAGTCACCGCGCTCGCTGCTCACCGAAGCTTTCGCCTCCGCAACTCCGGCGCCTGCTGAGGACGTGCTGCCCGGCAAGGTGGAGGATGGGACCTTCCACGCGTTGTGCTCGGAGCAGGGGGAGATGGACGCCGCAGCGGCGGCGGCGGCGATGACAGGGTCTGTTCCCGTCTCGGTCGATGCCAAACGGCGCCAGGCGCTGCTGCAGCTCCCAGCGCCCTCACCCTCGCCTTCGCTGCTGTTGCCGCCCTCGCTGGCCGCGTCGACCGCTTGCGCCAACGCCTCG